AGTCAGTATCTTTATCTGCATTTTGTAGATGGGTATTTGAAGCAAAGGAGGTGGTGTGACTTTCCCAAGGTCAGAGAACAAATCATTGCAGAAATAGGAATGGAAGCCAGAAGTCCTGATTCCCAGCCCTGTATACGAGTCATAACCATCTTCACCTTTTTTACCTGTAGTATTTTCCTTCCTGCCCCTCACTCAGTCACAAATCTCCCTTATCATTTTTCTCTTCACTGTTGTCTTTGTTTGCTTAATTCCTCTCTTTCTCTCCCTAGTCCCTAAGGAAAAAAACAAAAACAGGCACAAGTGTATAAAACAAAAGGACCACAACTGTCTTTTAATTTTTGGTTAATACAGGCTTAAAATTATTACCAATTTTACTCTATTAGTTTAATGAACTTTTATTACCAGTGTTATGACTGATCAGGATTTCTGATTGGGAATTATCACAATAAAAAATAGGTCAGCCTTTCCTATCAGTTCTCAAAAGCCCCCTCTTTTCATCCTGATCTTTTAGTCCTAAATATAAGGTGTCAAAGATTTAGAGTTGAGGTTGATCATAAAGAATTCAGCAATTAATAATATACAGTGTAATATTTAATGTCTCAGGTTGTTTTAATGCTTTGAAAGGAAGTACAGGAAGACGTCTTTCTTGTGCCTTTCATGTTTTGAGTTGACAAGTTCAAAGGCACATCAGTTGAAAGTATGTAGAAACCATATGCTCTTTTTAGGATTTACCTTGCTGCTTTGTGCTAGGTATTCATAAAATTAGGTCAATAATTATAATTCTGCAGGTCTTTATAAAAATAACTATTAAACTTACTGATTTTTCCTCAGTTCTGCTAATGCTTTTTATTTTTTATGTAATTTTATCTTCTGACTTCAAACATTTCACTACTAAGAGGTAATCATCACTTGATTGTGAAGATTCTTAGATTAATAATCATTTTGTGTGATATGTGAATGGAAGTATTCCCCACTAAGGTTGAAAGGGTATTCTTTCTCCATTGAGGAGGTGTCTGCTAATCCCATACTTCAGGGCTTCCTGGGGTTGCCTGTAGGGAATAAGAAGGAATTTTCTTGTTCTCATTAATGCTTTATTAGTGACTGAAAGGACAAGGATACTACCCACATCCACTCTTTTCCTTAGGCCCACAGAGGTTGAGTTTGCTATTGGCTAAAGGTTTTACTCCTTTAGGTAAATTAGTAAAGGCCTACATTGAAAGATATAATCCCAATAGCAATTGCCTGTATGTTGTTTAAGTAGGTAATTAAACTCAGCCATTTGTTGACAGTACATCTACACTGTGTGTATGTGATGGACTTCCAAATGAAATATGACAAGGTTATTTCTATTAATTGAAGCTAATGTCCTGCAGTGAATACAAGAATGCTCTTAGCATAATGATTAATCAGCGTGAAATGCTGGAGAACTTTAAAAAAGCAAATGGAACTGTGTGCTGAAAGTGGAATTGAGGACATGCTACCAAACTGAGAACATGCTGCATTGTTACTGATTGTATAGCAATGGGAGTTCTTTGAGATGCCCTTGTTTACAGAGATCCCACTGAAACTGCTTGTACCTCCTATGAGCAAGCGAGACCCTTTTAGTCAACACTGTAATCTGAGACCTCCATGTTCCTCGTATACCCTTGCATCCTCTGCAGTGGTAGTATAAATAGGGTGACCATACGTCTCAGTTTGGCTGGGACAGTCCTGGATTTGGGCTGTCCCTGCCAGCCAGTGAAAATTAAAACACGTGTCTGGTCCAGGGTGTGGGGTGGGGAGGTGGAGCAGCCCAAGCTGTGAAGTGGAATGACCATGGAAAAGGGGAGAAGATTGTTAATTCCTGTGAAGTAAAACATACTGGGTCATTAACGAGCCATTGACTCCCTTAGCTGCCTGAAAGGTAGTACCTGAGCTACACCATGGTCTCCTGTCCCTGCCTGCAGTAGCACAGCTGATTTGAGAAGCAGTAAGGGTGGTGGGGGGCAGTGTCCCCAATTTCACATTGTCCCATATGGTTGCTGTAAGTATAAAGGAATGAGTATCGCTTCCTTCACTAACAATAAGCATTTGTGTGATAAGTTTGCATTTTTATTTCCATCACTGCAAATTGGTAAAAATTTGTGTAGTTGCCCTAAATCCTGGATTGCATTCTCAATACAGCAAATAAATATATGGACAAAAGCTAATATCCCTCTTGCTCAGTATCTTGTTAAAAAAAAAAAAGTCAGGGTTCAGTGAATGAACATCTTTCTAACTGAAGATCTTCAATGACTGTACTGCCTCAGGAGTCCTCTGCAACCTTTACAGGCGCAACTGTCATGAAAAATTCAGAGCCTCATATTTTACCAACTTTTTGTCTTGTTCCCTGCAACCACAGCAAATAGCCTTATCACCATTTGCTTGATAACCTCCCTTCATGTATATGAACTGTTATTAAGTCTCACCTCAGTTTTCTCTTTTCCAGTCTAAATAATCTAATTTCTTTCATGCTTTTCTCCTAAATCATGTTTTCTAGATCTCATAAGTTTATTGCTCTCTGCTGGACTTTTTCCAATTTATCCACAGCTTTTTTTTCAAATATAGTACTCAAATCTCTCTCTACTAAAAAAGGAACACGGTACTTCATGTGGAGCCTCACAAGTTCTGACGAGTGGAAGAATCACTTCCCCAGACTTGCAAATGGCTCTGTTACTACAGCCAAGTATACCATTGGCTTTTTTTTGTTTTTTTGGGGGGTGGAGGTCGCAATATGAATACACTGTGTATGATATTAAAGCTATGGTTCCTTGGGTTCTTTTCTTCAGTGCCGTGGCCCCTAGACAGTCATGCCCTACATTGTATTGGTGTGTTTGATTGTTCTATCCCAAGTGCAGGATGTTGCTCTCCTTACTGAATTTCATTCAACTAATTTTGGACTGTTTCTCCAGTATCAAGATCATTCTGAATCCTAATCCTAGTCATAGAACCGGGGTGAGGTGTGTTAACAATTTATTTCTGAAATTGTATTGGGTTTCTCACCTGTGAAGAGAGAATTCAACTGGCAGGTATTTCCTATGTGTTCATAATGTTTCCCCAGGTAATGGGGACTGAAAAGAACTTTGATGTGTTTTTTTTTAAATCCCTCCCCTTCTTGGGATCGTGTGTGGAGACTTTGTTTTATGTTTCACAGGCTACCTTATTCCCAGATCTGCAATCTGAAACATCCATACTACCCTCCTCTGGCACTGTTCCTGTGCGTTTGTGTGCCGGCCAGCCTGGGATCAGCATGTGCGTCTGTCCGTGTCTGTGTTGGGGGCTTGTGGGGAAATGATACTCGGGGAGAGGGAGGGGGAGGGGGATGCGTGCAACTGTCAGAAACACGGAGACGCACACAGGGAATGGAAGATCGCCCAGGCGCCAACAGTGTTGCCCTGCCGCCTCCTGCTGCTCGGGGCCTGGAAATCAGACACTAACCCACCTGCGGCTACCCGTGGCACGCCAGGCTAGTGACTCACTGTGTCGGGGTGAGCGAGCCGCACTCCCCCAGCCTGCCCTTTCGGGTGTCCAGGAGCCTGGGAGCTGTGTATGCATGTCCCCGAGCTCTCCGGGTGAGTGACGGTACCAACAGGTGCAAGGCATGGCAGCGGTGGAGCGGGGGCCAGGGGTGCGGCTTCTCAGGCAGGGCCACAAACACAGATCTCTCATGACTCCGGGCACAAGCTAGATCCTGGGGTGGGGGCAGTAAGTGCAGGGGAGGGTGAACAATAGTGGAGAAATAATTGCAGGGGGCTCCGGGGGAGCAGCAGCAGCCACCCCCCCCCCCCCCCCCCTCTTTGCTGGAGGGGGGGGAGG